TCACGTAACTTTGTTTTTTATATAAAAAAAAATAAAAAATATTGGAAGAGTTTTTCTATTTGACACAGTTCTTAAGTGAAAATAATAATAACCAAAAAATTTATTTATAAAAAAACTACATATTAAAATTAATTTAATTATATTAGACTTTTTTTTTTGTATTATTAGTTTAATTATATTTCTGTTCGCTATATTTTAATATATAGACAATTTTGGTCTCCTTATTTTTAATTGCTCATTTTTAGTTTATTTAATTTTTTAAATGTGTGTTTTTGGTCTCTAAATTTTAATTATTCACCTTTACGGTCCCTTTAATTTTTAGAATATGAAATTTTGGTCCTCTAATTTTAGTTATTCATGTTTAGTCCCTTTAGTTTTTAGAACATAAAATTTTAGTTTTCCGCGATTTTATTTACTCATTTATTTTCTCTAGTTTTTCAAATGTACAATTTTAATATTTTTAATTTTAATTGCTTACATTTAGTTCTTCTAATTTTTAAATATTTAAAATAAACCCTTTATAAATATTTATTAACTATTCCAATGAATAAGATTTTAATATATTCTTTAGCATCGTTTATCTTTATCTCCAAATTCTCACATGGTATCAAGAGCCTATAAGATTCGGATATGGCTTTCGCATCATCATCTTTCACTCCTCACACCTTTCAAAAACCAATTTCGTTAAAGTTTAATTATAAACATTTTCTCATTTTGCAATAGCAGGTCCTTACGACTTTTATGGGCTTAAAACTCACAAAATTCTTTCTCACATTATTTATCTTTATGCGTAAGGATTATACTTATGGATTTGAAACATTAAATTTCTTTGACAATTATTATCATTCTGTCTTCAACATTTTTATTTAAGCTAATATCTACTTGTTTTAGTGAAAATTTTACCTTTTCACTTAAATGAAAATAGACTAAAAAGGTTTTCATATTCAATTTAAATATGTTCTCACTTTATTTTTTTAAAATTTAACTCAAAAAATATATATTAAAAAAGTTATTAAATAATGTATCAAAATTATAAATATAGATGTTCCTGTTGGAGAAACACTAGCCTTCAAGTCTCTGCTCTGAAACGATAACGTCCTTCTGACTGTTGCTGACGTGGGTACCTGCAAAAAGCACTTCGATGCTAAAGTCAGGATTCAGTTTTGAGCAATAAATGTTATTTAATAATGAAAAGTCATCTATTTACCTGTACTTCCTACCTTTTTTTTATAAGCATTGTTATGGGCTAATGGGCTTGCTGAGTCAGCCTTGAGTTTTGACCCTTTACTTTAAGTAGATAATGTCTTGATTATTACCTTTAATTTGATTAATTACCTTCTAATCCTGACAAAAGATATTCGGTCAAACTGGGCCGAATATGTACTTAGTTTCCTTTTTCTATATGTAGGACTGAGTAGTTTTCTATCCAGTACAATAGACATTTTATTCATTTAATTATTTCATAATAATTCTAGGAATTAAATTTATATACTTTCAGATTTTGAGACCCTATCCTTGTTTTAAAAATAGAAAGACAATGATAGAATGTATTATTTAATTACAAAAGCATATCTAACATTTTTTTTTATGGGGGCAAGCAATATTTCAAATTGAACTTAATCTAACTTCGTCTCTCATATAATTTTAGAGTTATAAAGTTTAAGTATTTGACTTAAATATTGTGACTTAATTTAGGATAATGGCTAATTTATTTACTTGGTCTTATTTTCACATTGTTCCAATAATAATTCGGTCCTTTACATACTTAATTAGGTCAAATTATGTTAATTAATATATCATGTTAAGATTAGGTTAGTTTATAAACTTAATCTATAGTATCATATGTGTTTACATGATGTTATTTAAATTAGACAAACATTAAAAACAATCATGAAAGGTTTATAAAAATGCATTATAATTATTAAGTATTTTTAACATTTTAATAGTTTTTTATTTAATTTATAGAAATAAGTTGTTTTCAGCTTATTCTAAAAAAATGTATTAAATAAATATTTAATCAAGCTATATTTTTAAAATGCACCCATATAAACTATTTTACCTTGCATTAAAATCAATTATCAAAATTAATAATATTTTATAAATATATAAAATATTTTTATTTAATTAAATTTTGATGTACTGTCAATTTAAAAATTCTACACTATCATTTAACTATAACATTAATTTTAAAATTTTTCTTATAAAAATCAATTGTTTTAAGTTTTATACAATTAGATGATAGTGTAATTTTTTTATATCTTTGATGTATTTTAATTAATTCTAAAATTAAATTATTTATTTAATTAATGCAATTTTTTTTATTTAAGGTTAGAGACAATGAGGTGTCTTGAATGTCAATAGCTTAAGGATTTGTTTGGGAATTAGTTTTTAAGAAAAAAAAATAGAAGAGAAAGACTTGCATAATGTAATTTTTTGTTATAAAATTTTACATGAGAAAGAGAGGATTTATAGACCCTTCACAACTCTTATACTAATATATTTTAAGTTCTTCTAGACTTATAAGAGATTTTGTATTAACTTTTCTTTTTCTTTCTTTCTCCTCTCCTTTCTTATTATTCAAATACTTCCATTTCTTCTTTATCGAAGATCTTAAATAAAGCTTAAAAAACTAATCATTATTTATCACTTATTTGATATAATTTGCATTAAAAAATAAAACTTTATTCTAAATATATTTACTCTACACATCTAAATACAATCAAGTCTTACAACACTAAATTTAATCAATACATAATTTATGTGAATATAAATTTTTTCTTAACAAATTTTTAACCTAAAATTTTATAACAAATCTGCCTTATCATTTTAATAATAATTTAAAACAGTTATATATTTTACACAAAATATAATTATTTAAAAATATGTAATTATGATTTTTTTAATTTCAAATGATAAAATATAATTAAATTTGTTGGCTTTAAATTAATAGTATTTATGCAATGAAATATAAGAAAAACTTAAAATGAAATGCTTTAAATAAGCATTATTTTAAATTCATATTTATATAATAAATTGAAACACTGCTTTTAAAAACAAAGAAAATTTATATAATTTATTGGTAAATATTTAGCTTTAATTTTTTTAACGAATAATAAAAATATATAATTACATTCAACATTAGACATTTACATTAATTTATTTAAAAAATAAATAATTCTTTCCTAAAACTACACATGGAGAGATAACTTTTAATATTTCATTTTTTAAAACAATAATAATAATAATATCAATATTATATCTCATATATAATTAAGTGATAATATATATATATATATATATATGATACTGATAGTATATTTTAATTATATTTATTTATAATTAGTATCACATTTTTTTAATGTATTTAAGGTAGACCTAATAAAATGGATTGTCTAGTTGGATTAGCTTAAACTTACTCTATAGAGTGTAAAGTTTGGACTTTACATTTTGTGTCCGAATAAAATCTAAATGTTTTTATTTTATTTTATTTTAATATAATTAAGCTTGATGCGGAGTAAACTTACAAAAATCAATTTTTATTTAATTTTGACACTATTTTAATATGATCAAATTAGATTTATACATTTTTAACTTGATTTCTCAAAGTCTGTAATCCACCATAAGTTAATCAAAATGGATAGGGTAGCCCGTTTTGGCCACTCTAGTTTAATTTAATTAAAAAAAAATCCTTACCTAAAATTACACATAGAGAAATAATTTTTAATTTTTTTTTGCTTTAAAAAAAATAACAATAATAATAATAATAATGTGAGGAGCATGTGGAAAGTTAATGATAAAATTAGATGTCTTAATAACAAAAATCCTTCTTTGCACATTATGATAAATATAGTGTGTCACGTCTAAACACTTTTCACATTTAGGATCCAAATTACATATAATCAAATAGAAAAAAAGTAAAATGGATTATTGTGTATGAAAACATTAATGACAAATGTTGACTTTTTATATATTAATGTATGATTAATTAGATGTCTTAATAACAAAAATACTTCTTTGCACATGATGATAAATACAGTGTGTCACGTTTAAACACTTTTCACATTTAAGGTCCAAATTACATATAATCAAACATAAAAAAGTAAAATGGATTATTGTGTATGAAAATATTAATGACAATTGTTGACTTTTATATCTTAATGTATGACTAATTGATAGTATATATATATATATATATATATATATATATATATATATATATATATTTGAAGGCTCTGATACCAGGGTTTATCGGCTGGACAGCTGACAGGCACCTACCGGAGAAACTGTTTTTACAGTTGCCTTAACATTAGTATGGAAATTTTTATCCTGGTTCCAACCTATTCCAAATTGGATGAAAGATGTTAAGACATTTTGTTTTTTGTGTGAATCAGATGTACTTAAAGTTTAAGCTTTTATATGCTTTAAAAAAGCCACTTTGTAAAAGGTTTGGAAATCCCACTAGTCCCTGACTAGAAAGAAGTATGCTCTGCACTTGCCATTTTTATGGATCCTGTGCATCGGATAAGTGTGATAGTCATTTTTTTTGTAAAATACACGAATATTTTAAATTTACCTTGGAAATACGCAAAATTTATTATACATTAATTCATATCAAACCTCTACAAAGAAAAAAAAAATTATGCCCCGCATAATTTCTGATGACTGAATAAGTAATTTAATTTTTGAATAACATTAAAAAATTTATTTTTAAATATATCATACTAAAATAATATCAACCCAAATATATATAATATAAATGTTTTTAATTACTAAATGGTGATGGCAAGATTTTGCTCCCTCCTCGATCGGGTAGAAAAGACAAGAGCAGGAACAAACAGCAACAGAGGAACTTTTAAAAACCTCAACCGAGAACTTTGGGCCTGGTCGTAGTCGCAGGCCGAAAAAGCACGAGTGTGAATAAACCGGGTTTGTTGGTTCAATAAAAAACCAAACCAACCCTTTCCTCGCCAACAAGAAACCAAAAAAGTCCCCTATATATATTTACGAGTATTTACGCCCTCGCACCTCCACACAGAGATCTCACTTTCACTCTCACTCCACCGCCTCCACTCCCATTCCTCTCTTCTCTCCCCTTCAGCGTTTCGATCTCTCCCTCGGAGGTATCCCTTCTCTTATTTTCCTTCAGTTTTTTTTTTAATTAATATATTTACTTTTTCAAAATAACTCTTAGTATCGTGATTCTGATTCTGATTTTATTCTTTTCTTTTTTTGTCTATCGCTGGTTTATCTTAGTTGTTCTCTTTCTCTGTCTGTATCGTTTTTCTTATTATACGGGTTTAGTTCTCTTTGATGGTTGATTAGGGTTTCGTTGTTAATCTAGTACTTTTGAGATTTAGGGTTTTGAAATGTTAAAACAATCACAAATTATTATTATTATTATAGCCTCTGGTTTATTTCAAAGGTTTCGATGTTTTCTCGACACATGGCTGGTTCGTGTGTAATGCTATGAAGCAAGCACATACACTGTGTCTCCAGTTGTAACCTTGTCCGATACTACATGAACACTTTTGTATTTTTCGTAAATTTTATTTCTGTCAATATAAATTGGATATCATAATAATTAGATGATAGCATTTTATTATATTTACGTTGACCTATGTTGATTATGAAAACATGAGTGTTATCTCTTGTGATTGAAGATTTTATTGTGTTGATTTTTTTTACAGTTTTTACAAGTTATATTATAGCCTTGTCATGTGCTATTCGTTTTAAATTTTGTCACATTGTATACGTGTTGCTTGTTATCCATGTCTCTTTAATTTTGTGGTGCTTTTTTGGCCTAACTATATCCTAGTTGTCTAAATTGAAGCCCCTTGTTTTATTAATGGAGGGGTAAGGATGTTGCGCTTCCGTCTGTGCATTCTTTGGATTATTGGTTATTAGTTTTCCTTAATTGGGTTTTGGGAATAATTTATTTTGTGCCGTTAGTTGACTAAAACTCTCGATGTGTACATCCCGCGATGTCGCGTTGCAGAGATGGCAGTAACTGATGGATCCCCAACCCCTCAGATGGTTGGCAATGCTTTTGTGGAGCAGTATTACTCTATACTGCATCAAGATCCAGACCAAGTTCACAGATTTTACCATGAGTCTAGTGTCCTAAGTCGACCTGAAGAAGATGGATCCATGACCACAGTGACTACTACTGCAGTAAGTATAAGTGATGGATGCAATCATTTGTTTCACAGACATGCAAAATTATACAAATGCAAATTTAGCACATTTCAAGTAGCATTTATTCTAACCTACTCTTTTAATTTCTCATGTCCTGAACTGTTTAATGCTTAATTAGCCATTTGTTTTTTTTTTAAATTAAAAAATGGCTATTTGTTTAAGCATGACTCAATTCAAAATTCTATGGAAAGCACCATGGATTATGCACTTTTGATGTGAATGTGGAGATAGTGTCCTATTTTAGAAAATCCTTAGTATTTTGTAAGTTAGGAAATTGGTTGAAGCAATAATAGAAAATCTTTATTGGAGGTCACATTGGGGATGTATTGGAAATAAGTGCAGTAATAACATTATTTGATTAACTTTTTCTATTCTTGATCCTTACCCAGTGTCCTTAAGACACTTTTTGGCACTTATTATTAATAGTGTGCACCATCAGTTGTTAACATTCTTGGGGGAGTGTACTTAACTAACACCTTTATTAATAGTGTGCATCATTTTTTTGGGTGATAATAACAGACCATTACTGTATCAATCACATCAGAAAATTTCATGAAGGCTATCAGATATTGGGAGGGTGTAGCATTTAAGAATAATCACAAGAAGAGCAATAAAGCATATACATTACTGATAATAGTCATGTGGATATGGACTTTGTTATAATCCTATTCTAATGTCATAGTTTGCTTAATACTTATAAACATTTATTTTTTGATACCCAATCTTCACATCTGCACCCTCATTCGTGGGTGAAATCAAACTGATGTATTATTATGCTCTGAAATCTGAATTTATTCACCTTTTACTATCTTTCTGGTTCCCTTTTGAGTTATTTTTGTTCTATGAAAAGCAAGAAAGTAAAGAAGATAATCATGATTGTCTAATCTAATTCATGATGAATTGAATGTTGGCAATCCCTTTATAAGCTCATTATGCTGGCCCAAGCTCATTATTTATCTTAGTTTATTTGGGTGCTCTAGTTGAGGCATTTTATATTTTTTTATTACTTTGACTATTATGCATTGCAACAAATGATTTAAGATATGCTAACTTGAATGATCTTACTTTGTTTTTGTACAGGATATTAATAAAAAGATACTTTCTCTGGATTACACAAGCTTTAGGGTAGAGATTCTGAGTGCTGATGCTCAGCCTTCATACAAGGATGGGGTGATGGTTGTAGTTACTGGCTGCTTGATGGGAAGTGACAATCTGAAAAGGAAGTTTAGCCAGTCCTTTTTCCTAGCTCCACAGGACAAAGGCTACTTTGTTTTGAATGATGTTTTCAGATACATTGATGAGTATAAGTCAATTGATATTGAATCTGTGCCTGCAAATGATGCTGATGAAAGTTCTCCAACAGATTCTTTTACCCCAGAGCCTGGTAATTCTTCTATTTACATTTCCTGGTTATAAATATATGCTTCTATTCCTGCTGTTTTTCATTTTCTTCCTCTTGACTTTTGCTTTTCTTGTTAGAAGTTTTGGTTTTAAATATTTGCTTGTATCTATGAATACAGAGGCCATTCATGTTCCTGAAGACACTCCACCTAGTCAAACTGCCATTGTTGATGCTGACAATACTGTCAGCAAAGAAGTGAGTCAGCCAGTGGAGAATGGAAAATTGTCAGTTACTGAAACAGTGGTTCCTGTTAATCATGTTAAAGAATCCAATCATCAGGAACATCACTCACACACTGAGAAAGCTGCTTCTAATACACAGGAGGATGCTCCCAAGAAGTCTTTTGCATCCATTGTAAGTTTTATTTATTTATTTATTTACATCTTTATTGTATCTCTTGTAGTGTCTGAACATATGTGACTATTCTGTAATTTTTGTTTCAGGTTAATGCACTGAAAGATAATGCTGCTCCTTTCCATATCAGGACTTCCCCTGTGAAAACTGTTGAACAACCCCGTGTTTCTAGCGTGCCTGTATCAGAAGTGCCAGCTACTAGCACTGACAGTCCAACAGAAAAGAGTAATGAGAATGCAGGTGATTCCCATTCGGTGACTAGTATATGAATACAGTTTACTATAGCTTGTCGCATTTGATCAGGAAGCTTCTTTGTAACTTATGTAATTTACCTTGTGCAGGCAAGGCTTATGCAATATTTGTTGCAAATTTGCCTATGAATGCAACAGTAGAGCAGCTGGAACGAGTTTTCAAGAAATTTGGGCCCATTAAACCTGATGGTATTCAAGTTAGAAGTAATAAGGTTAGTCTGTTACTAACATTTCTGCAATCTAGTGTACGGAACTTATTTCAACAACTACAACTATTGACACAATACTTTGTTCTCCTTTCCAGCAACAGGGATCTTGTTTTGGTTTTGTGGAATTTGAATCTGCTACTTCAATGCAAAGTGCACTTGAGGTAAGATCTCCATCATTTGTAATTAGACTTTGTATTCTTTGTCCATTTACTGGAGGTGTTGCAGATGACACATTTCATATGATGCTAGTTTTTTTGAAAATTGTTTCACATTCTGTGATCCAGAAGTTGTTTTTTGCAAAAATGTTGGAAGGGTTCTACAATTTGATGAGATCTGCAGTGCTTTTTTAATTAAAATTGTTGTGTAGTATGAGTTCTTTTCAATTAATTATAGTGAAATAGTTAATATATTTGTGCAATTGTCTGTTGATGGTTTATCGTCGTTAGCAGCATATGTTTGATGACAATTTTTCTTGAGAATTAATTAATTAGGAATGCAAGATTGAAAACTGCTAATGATTTTAATTTACATTTTATAAATGCAGTAGTTACATGTGTGCTGCATGGTGGTGGATTGTCTAAGTTTGCTGCATGTAGTGCATCTGAAGTATGCTTTATGTGCCGATTTTTCTCATTGTTCAACTTTATAATCCCTGTAATGCAAATGCATCAGAAATGTTTGTATGGTGCCTTTTGTTAGCTATTCCAATATAACATTTATACGATTATTTCAGGCCTCTCCTCCGGTTACATTGGACAATCGAAGGCTTTCCATTGAAGAAAGGCGAGGTATGTGGGCTGTATTTCTCAGCAAATTTGAACATTTTAAAATTAAACCGGCAGGTTTTGTTGATTATTTCCCATGACGTCAATGTCTTTGACTAATTTATGTTCTAGACATGCTGTATAATAGGTTATCCCATGTAAGGTAAAATTGCTAGGAGAAAAATTCTAATGCTTATACTGTTCCATAAATTGTGCCAATATTGTCACTTACCATCGGGTATTCTTGTTGCAGCTAATAATGATAGGGTCAGATATTCATCGGGCAGGGGTGGATTCCGAAATGACAGAAATGATAACTTCAGGGGCCGTGGCAACTTTGGTGGTGGCCGTGGTGGCGGTGGTGGCTATCCAAATAGGAATGATTTTGAGAAGCGAAGTGAGTTCTCTGGCCGGCCTCGAGGAGGCAATAATGCTGGGCGTAGCAATGGAGAAACTATGCCAAGGAGTTTTCAGAATGGAGGAAAAGTTGCTCGTCAACCAGTGAAAGTTCAGTGAAGTGCTTTATTTTGTTGGGAATTGAGTGACAACGGAGTTTTTTTTATAGATAGCGGCATCTAGGGATTTTGGGTTTGCAACTCGATTAGAGTTTTTACTTTATATCTGTCATGATCCTTTCGCTTCAGAGTTTCGGTTAAAATCAAATGATTCCCCATACCATCTTCTCCCATCTCCCCCATTTTTAATTTTTTCCAATTTTGTTACATTTTGTATCTAATTTTCTTGAATAATTGTTTTGGAATTGATCACAATTATATGCTATTTTTTCTCCTTGATTCGCCTGTTGGTTGTTTTTTAATTACAAAATTCAATTTGATTTATTTGAGAAAGATAATAGTCTACTAGATAGACTGGCTTTTGGGCTAAAATGAATTAGTTGTTCTGTTTACTATGGGTAAACGTGCGATTTTCGAATTTTCATCCCTTATAGAAGGTCAACTCTTTTCTTAGTGCACCATTATTTCGTGCTAAAGGATTTCACGAATCACGAACCTAGTGTAATATGCAGACGTGTATTTACTTTTTGTAATAGATAAATAAAGAATAAAACTTGCCTTCCATAAGCTTTATCACTGCTCATTGGAATAACTTTTACGAACTTTGATTTGTTATTTCTGATAATTTGCTGGTACTTAAAATTTTGTGTGCGCACCGCTGCATTCTATCATTAGGTCAATGTTACTTGGATAGGAATTTTATGTGTTTGCTGTAACGCTTTATATTTTTTAATATATGATAAATTTTTATATGATAAAGTAAATTTTTTTTTAGAAATTTTTTAATAAGAAAAAGAGACATTGAAATGGTATAAGGTTTATAAAGTAAAATTTCATTAATTCATAAGTACTTTAGAAAAATAAAGATTTTAAAATTTTCATCAGTAACAAAAAGAAATAGTAATTTTACAACTGTTTCAAAAGAATGCTATAGAACTGAAAATATTCATTATATAACACAAAATAACTAAGTCCTATAGCAGTTCTCATCCATCCATGCACTGTGAGCCTGGTACTATTCGTCCTGATTTCTTGAAAATGTTATGTAAGAGTGAGTCTCTATCTTACCATTCATACATTACACATATTCATCTCAAAACACATCTTATCATGATTAAAAAAAACATTATGACATTACATATCACAATGTCATATAAAGCTTATTTTTATCTCAACATATATTATATTCCATAGATTCACAATTTCTTTTACTTTTATCTGCGCTTACCGCGTCCTGTGGCCACATTTATCCGATGCCTCTATTCCGAGGTCTTACACATCCATATAAATAGTCGCCGGATGGTCTAATGCAATACGGATACAACGCATGCAATAGACAACCCCTTAGTAAAGGTAATGGTCAGGAGTTAAGTTGAGAAATGAGTGTGTGGCCATGTGGTGCATTCGAACACAATATTCCATGCACAATCTCGAATGTCACTCACCACCCTGCATTTTCCCAAGATATTCCATATCATCTCCATCTTCCACTCCCCAGTGTATCTCTGTAACTATTTATATCATATCTTTTTCCATCTTATACTCTTTCGAGTATATTCACATGTTCACATATGCCATTTATCATGTGCACACATATTTTTCATTATATTTCCATACACTTTTCATCATATACATCAAACCATGGCATATTCACAATACACATCATTTTTACATGAAACTTAATATATTCAAACATGAAACATCCATCTCTTTGTATATTCCATATCACAAAATCATAAAATCATATCAACCATCCTCAATATACCTTATCATGCCCTATTTGAACATAATATCACATTTTCACCATGTATTCCTCATAAAATCACATAAACAGCCAATTATTCTCACTTTTCACCGATTATTTCTCATAAAATAAGGATTATTCTACATATAATCACATACATGACAAGATTCATGAGAATACAAGTAATAAACATAACAAAATGATAAAGTAGAGCCCCCTTTACCTCAAAACAAAGCTTTTACAAAAATTTAACCGAAGATTTGAACTCTAGAACGGAGTTTTTCCTAAGAACATCATGAACATCTATAAGAAGAAGAAGAAGAAAAGAAACGAACATAAATCTAACTTCAAACTTAGAGAAACTTACTTGAAATCCTTTAAATCGGACGTAGAATCACAAATCTGAAGAAAAATCTAAGTTTAGGAGGTTTAGTATGAGAGAAAATGGTGAGATATAACCTTAGAACCTTTGAGAACCTTGGATAGGAGTGAAGAAATAAAAATTTCGTGTGAAACCCCTTTTTATAGAAATTTTTTGAAATTTACTGTTCATCGCCGGAAACATTGTTCACCGTCTTACTGTTCACACCAGAAACACTATTTGCGGTCACTATTCATGCTGGAAACACTGTGCACACGTAATGTACACGGACTGTACGCGGATGTGACGTCAGTCATGACGTCATGTTGATGTCATTGATGACATCATCAACATTGTTCATAGGCGATTTTACTATTCATTTTTTTTAAAATATAAATTCTATCCAAATCTATTCCAATTATACTTTAACAAACTTCATTATATTTAAATCAAAATGCAGAATGTTACAATTCTTCCCTCCTTTAAGGAATTTCGTCCCCAAAATTCACTAAGTTACAAAAAGATTAGGATATAATTCTCTCATCTTATTCTCAGTTTCCCGCGTGGCATCTCCCTCATCACTAGTATTCCATACTACTTTAACTAGTGAAATATCCTTACCTTTTAATTTCTTAACACGACGATCAACAATTTTCATCGATTGTACATCATATGACAAATTCTCTCTTACTTGAACAGGATCAAGTTCTATCACATGAGTAGGGTCAGGAATATATTTTCTAAACTGAGATATATGAAATACTGGATGTAAATTTGAGAGATTTGGAGGCAAAACAATTTTATAAGCAACAGGACCAACTTTTCTTAGCACTTCAAATGGCCCAATAAACTTAGGAGATAACTTCTTGGATTTTAAAGCTCTTCCAACTCCAGTTATAGGTGAAACTTTTAAAAATATATGATCACTCACCTAAAACTCTAAAGGTTTCCTCCCCTTATCATGGTAACTCATTTGCCTATCTTGTGCTATTTTCATCTTTTCTCTGATCAATTTGATTTGCTCATGTTGCTTCTGAACCATATCTGGCGCATATAGGATCGCCTCTCTAGTTTCATACCAACATAAAAGGGTTCTGCACTTTCTTCCATACAGAGCCTCAAATGGAGCCATTCCAATGCTTGCATGATAACTGTTATTATATGTGAATTCCACCAAAGGTAGACATTCCTCCCAAGTTCCTTGTTGTTCCATCACACAAGCTCTCAACAAATCCTCCAAGGACTGTATTGTTCTTTCAGTCTGACCATCAGTTTGTGGGTGATAAGCTGAACTAAGTTTTAACTTAGTACCCAAGGCTTTCTGCAGACTCTCCCAAAATCTCGATGTAAACCTTGGATCTCTGTCTGACACAACACTAGTTAGCACTCCATGCAATCTGACTATCTCTCACATACATATCTGCTAGCTTCTCCAACTTGTACTTCATATTAATGGAAAGAAAATGAGCTGCTTTAGTCAATCTATCTACTATCACCCAAATTGCATCATGATTACTTTTTGTTCTTGGTAGACTAGACACAAAATCCATAGAAATACTATCCCACTTCCACTCAGGAATTTCTAATGGCTGTAACATTTCAGGTGAACGTTGATGTTCTACCTTCGTCTTTTGACAAGTTAAACACTTTGCTACATACTCAACCACATCCTTCTTCATTCTATTCCACCAAAAATTCTTACTAAAGTCTTGATACATTTTTATCGCACCAGGATTAAAACTCATTATGCTTTTATGAGCCTCCTCAAGTATCATCTGCTTAAGCTCATCATTGGAAGGAATACATACACGGTTCTTGAACTTAATCAATCCATTTGCATCACAATGGAACTCCAAATCCTTTCCTTCACCATTCTGCCTCATCATTTCCTGCAAGAATATATCTTCTTGTTGGGCATCACGAACCCTAACCAAGAAATCATTGTTGATTATCGAAGTCCCAAGATTCAAACTCTGAGGTCGCACCTCCACTGCCAAATTCATATCTCAGAACTTCTCAATCAACTCTAATTTTTTCACCATCATACTTGCCATATGCAAGGACTTCCTACTTAAAGCATCAGCAACCACATTTGCCTTCCCAGGATGATAAGACTATGTAAATCATAGTCCTTCAGAAATTTCATCCACCTTCTCTGCCTCATATTTAGCTCTTTCTGATCAAACAAGTACTTCAAACTCTTGTGATCACTAAATACCCCAAATCTCGCCCCGAATAGATAATGTTTCCATATCTTAAGGGAAAAAATCACCGCAACTAATTCTAAGTCATGAGTAGGATAATTAACTTCATGAGGATGCAATTGCCTCGAAGTATAAGCAACTACCCTTCCATCCTGCATCAAGATACAACCAAGCCCTTGCCCAGATGCATCACAATACACATCAAATTTCTGTTCTGGATTAGGCAAAACTAAGACAGGGGCAGATGTTAACTTTTCTTTCAGCTTTTGGAAACTAGCTTCACACTCTTCATTCCACACAAACTCTTTTCCTTTTCTTGTTAACTTCGTCAAAGGAAAAGCTATTTTAGAAAATCTTTCAATAAATTTCCTATAATAACCAGCTAGTCCCAGAAAACTGCAAATTTATGTGGGATTAGTAGGCCTTGGCCATTAAGCCACTGCTTCCACCTTTACTAGATCCACCATAATACCATCTTTTGATACCACATATCCCAAAAATTGAATTTGTGGTATCTAAAATTCACACTTAGAGAATTTTGCATACAATTGTCTTTCTCTTAGTATCTGTAAAACAATTCTCAAGTGTTCTGCATGTTCTTCATGAGTCTTGGAATAAATCAGAATATCATCTATAAATACTACAACAAATTTATCCAAAAACTCATGAAAAATTCTATTCATGTAGTTCATGAATACTACAGGAGTATTAGTCACACCGAATGGCATAACTAGATACTCATAGTGGCCACAGCGGGTTCTAAATGTCTTGGGGATATCCTTACTCTTGACTCTGATCTGATGATAACCAGATCGCAAATCAATCTTTGAAAATACGGAAGATCCTCGTAACTGATCCATCAAGTCATCAATTCGAGGAATAAGATACTTGTTCTTTATTGTTACCTTATTCAATTGCCTATAATCAACACACATCCTCATGCTCCCATATTTCTTTTTCACCAAAAGAACAGGTGCTCCCAAGGTGACACACTTGGCCTTATTAACCTTTTCTGCAATAATTCTTCTACCTGTTTCTTTACCTCAGCCAACTCCACTGGTGACATACTATATGGTGCAACAGAAATAGAATTTGCTCTCGGAATGAGATCAATAATAAACTCAATCTCTCTTTCTGGTGGCAATTCAGTAACATCATCAGGGAAAACTTCTAAAAAATCTCTAACTACTGGGATATACTCAAAACTTCTAAAAAGTCTCAATTGAAAATAGAACCATGAAAGCCTTAGCACTTATTATATTTTCTGATTGATCTGGACCTAAGAGTTTAGCACTTTCTGATACTTTAGTGCCAAAAATCAAAACTTTCTCTTTACAGTCCAATAGAACATGGTTGGATGACAACCAATTAATTCCCAAAATTACATCAAGTTGGGAAAGAGGTAAACAAATCAAATCTATACTAAAACTCCTACCATGTACCATCATAGTACAACCTAAACACACAGAAGAAGTTGCTACGGGTTTACCCGTAGGAGTAGATACAATAACATCACAAGACAATTCAAATACAAGTAATTCTAGACATCTCATACAATCCACAGAAATAAAGGAATGAGTAGCACCAGAATCAAACAACACATCTACAAGTCAGTCTTTTATGATACATTTACCTCTAATAAGCTCCTCTGATTTTGAGGCCTCAGCTCCGCTCATAGCAAAAACTTTACCTTTCACATTTGGCTTTGTTCCAGTGCTTGCTCTAGATTCAGGTCTTTGTTCCACACTCATGCTTCTACTCTTTTGTGGAGCAGACCAACAGACACTAGCAGAGTGTCCCATTTTCCCACAAATGTCACATGTTGGTGGAAGTTGAGGACAATTCTTTTTAATATGAGGTCCACTACACTTGAAACATTTTAGTGACCTTTTGAAAGAACCAGAACCATCACTACTATCTTCTTGAGATACAGTTCACTTCACTTGAGACTGATTTGGACTAGAGTAAGGTCCTCTAGAAAATCTTGGAGGCCTTCGGTCTTGCCTCACAAGACTACCGATTCTGGTATCCACCGTCTTACCCTTAGTATTGGCTTCAAATATTCTGCATTTACTCACTAGAGTGGGTAAATCTGTCAGCTGGAATACACTAACAGCAGCTTGAATATCTGGCCTAAGCCCATGTTCAAATTGAGCACATAGATCTTCCTCTCCATCATTATGTTGATAGTGAGGCCAGTATTTCATCAATTCATGAAATTTAGCAGCATATTCACCTATAGACATGTTTCCTTGTTTCAACTCAAGGAGCTCCCTAGCCTTCTGTTTCTTTAAATCTCTAGGGAAGTAATTTCCCGGAAAAGTTGCCTTAAATGTCTCCCAAGGAATATAACCATCTTCTTGTAGTAGAGTTTGACTAGCAAATCTCCACCAGTCCTCAGCTTCTCCACTCAGCATATAAGTAGCATAAGTTACCTTATGCTCCTCTCTACATCTATGGCATGGAAAATCTTCTCCACATTTTCTATTCACCTCTGAGCTCCCTCAGGATCAAACTTTCCCTCAAATTTTGGAGGGTTATGCCTAGTAAAAGAAGAAAGTCCTCTATACTTGGCTGGTTCAGCCTTTGGTTATGTGCCAAAGTCTCTAAGACTTGGGTCATGCGCTCTAAGAGTTCATTTGTAGCACCAGCAGGTCTACCTCTACAAGCCATAACTCTAATCTTGCAATAAACTCAAATCACTTATTAATCTATCATTCGCATACATATATACATCTAGTTTAGGTAATTCACATCTAACAAGTCATATTAGCAAATAATCATTTCATATTCTAGTATATCTATTACACAACATAGACATGTTAGTCCCATATCCCAGTCTGGTCTGGATGAACTGCTCTGATACCAAAATTGTAACGCCTTGTATTTCTTTTCTCAATATATGATAAATTTTCATAAAAATTTATATGGTAAAGTAAATTTTCCTTCAAAAACTTTCTAATAAGAAAAAAGAGACATTGAAATGGTATAAGGTTCATAGAGTAAAATTTCATTAATTCATAAGTACTTTAGAAAAACAAAGATTCTAGAATTTTCATCAGCAACAAAAAGAAATAGTAATTTTACAACTGTTTTAAAAGAATGCTATAGAACTGAAAATATTCATTACATAACTCAAAATAACTAAGTCCTATAGCAGTTCTCATCCATCCATGCACTGTGAGCCTGGTACTATTCGTCCTGGTTTCCTGAAAATGTTGTGTAAGGCTGAGTCTCTACCCTACCACTCATACATTACACATATTCATCTCAAAACACATCTTATCACAATTAAAGAAAACATCATGGCATTACATATCACAATATCATATAAAGCATATTCTCATCTTAACACATATTATATTCCACATATTCACAATTTTTTTTACTTTTATCCGCACTTACCGCACCCTGTAGCCACAGTTATCCGATGCCTCTATTCCGAGGTCTTACACATCCATGTAAATAGTCGCCGGATGACCCAATGCAATACAGATACAATGCATGCAATAGACAGCCCCTTAGCAAAGGTAATGGTCAGGAGTCAAGTCGAGAAATGAGTGTGTGGTCATGTGGTGTATTTGAACACAATATTCCATGTACAATCCCGAATGTCACTCACCACCCTACATTTCCCCAAGATATTCCATATCATCTCCATCTTTCACTCTCCCAGTGTATCTCTGTAACTATTTACATCATATCCTTTTCCATCTTATACTCTTTCGAGTATATTCACATGTTCACATATGCCATTTATCATGTGCACACATATTTTTCATTATATTTTCACATACTTTTCATTATATACATCAAACCATGGCATATTCACAATACACATCATTTTTAGATGAAACTTAATATATTCGAACATGAAACATCCATCTCTTTGTATATTCCATATCACAAAATCATAAAATCATAAAGTCATATAAACCATCCTTAATCTACCTTATCATGCCCTATTTGAACATAATATCACATTTTCACCATGTACTCATCATAAAATCACATAAACAGCCAATTATTCTCACTTTTCATCGATTATTTATCAGAAAACAAGGATTATTCCACATATAATCACATACATGACAAGATCCATGAGAATACAAGTAATAAACATAACAAAATGATAAAGTAGAACTCCCTTACCTCAAAACAGAGCTTTTACAAAAATTTAACCGAAGATTTGAACTCTAGAATGAAGTTTTTACTAAGAACATCATGAACATCTATAAGAAGAAGAAGAAGAAGAGAAACGAGCGGTAAATCTAACTTCAAACTTAGAGAAACTTACTTGAAATCCTTTAGATCGGACATAGAATCACAAATCTGAAGAAAAATCTAAGTTTATGAGGTTTAGTATGGGAGAAAATGGTGAGATATAGCCTTAGAACTTTTGAGAACCTTGGATAGGAGTGAAGAAATGAAAATTTCGTGTGAAACTCCCTTTTTATAGAAAATTTTCAAAATTTACTGTTCATCACCAGAAATACTATTTACCGCCTTACTGTTCACGTCAGAAACACTGTTTGCGGTCACTGTTCATGTCAGAAATACTGTGCACACGTAATGTACACGGACTGTACGCGGATGTGACGTCAGCCATGACGTTATGCTGATATCATTGATGATGTCATCGTCACTGTACATAGGCGATTTCACTGTTCATACGCGGTTTACTGTTTATAGGCAGTTTTACTATTCATCAACACTGTTCATAGGCAATTTTACTATTCATTTTTTTTAAAATATAAATTCTATCCAAATCTATTCCAATTATACTTTAACAAACCTCATTTTATTTAAATCAAAATGCAGGATGTTACCCTCGCAATTTTCCTTTGTCAAATTTCCGTTGTTGATGGCCTCAATGATTCAACCTCTGGAGCATAAGAGCATGGAAAAGTACTAATCACCTATGGTTGTCTTGTTTAGCGAATATAAGTCTCGAAGACGATTAAAGTGAATTTTATAGAAAACGTGTTGCGAGGGCATTCTTGAGATGTAGTGGAGTCGTTAGTAATGGAATGTAGAAACAAATTGAGCTCATCAAATGAATAGTGATAGAGTGGAATGATTAGGGAGGACAACTTAAACCATTCACTTTGATGTTGGTACTTCTGAGTATGATAGTTTTGAAGGGAAGCATTTTTTAATATCTCTTTAACATGATTATTTCCAATTGTAAAGGCATAATCTAATTTGAAAGTAGGGATGATGACATGTTGGATTCTCATTTGCATCAAAATGTAAAGGTTTAACTAAGTTTTTAGTACTTGAAAAGTTTATTTATTTTTAATTTGGTCTTTATTTTAAATTTTTTAAAATGAGTCTTTCATAAATTGCATTTTTTTTTGTTACAAACTAATCTATTTTATTTATTTATTTGTTTAAATATTACAAGTGTTTTGTTTAGTCCTTCGTAATGAAGATCAAATAAAAAGTTCATGATGTTTATGAAGATAAATAAAAAAAATTTGTGATATTTAAAGAATAAAAATTATAAGAGAAAAATTGGTAAAGAAAAATATATTATAAAGAAGTAATTTAAAAAAAATAAAAATAAAAATAAGAATAAAATACCAAATAATAAAATTATATATTTTTAAAAGGCCAAAAATTTAATTAAACTAATATAAAAATACATAGAGTTAGAATTATATTAGTGTGGATAATAATATCTACACATTTGTAAACATATTTAGACCTAATAATTACATTCTAATTAGCATAAATCTTTATTTTAATCTTTAAATTTTTTTTTTATGTCAGTCATATTAATATTCTACTTTTCAAAAGGCTTACTGTATATCTCATTTTGTAAAATATCATTAATTTAGTCCTTTAATATAAAATAGTAATAAAAAACAAAATAAAAGAAAAGTAAAATGAATAAGTGTTTATAAAAAAAAATTATACAAAATTTCATTTTAAGTAAACTCCATAGGTAATTTTAAGGACAAATGATATTTTACTCATTTCAGTGAGTTAGAATATACGAAATTTCTACTTGCTTGTACTTTATTGCTTTAGTTAAACTAAGTAACTTTTCAACTGTTAGATTATTTGATTTATACAGTTAGAATTTGGTGTAAGTCTTTTAGACTTACATTTGGTGTTAATGAATCTTATCTCATATATATATATATATATATATATATATATATATATATATATATATATATATATAGTCTACCACAATTGTGATTTTTAATGATAAATAATTATATTTACATTGAAAACATTCACAGGATGATATAATTGATTTTTTTAATATATATATATATAGTATTCCCCCTTTATACATAAATCTTGAATTGGAGACTGTTTTGAGGGAATCATCCATGTGAACCAACTGTTCATTGTTCTTGTAATGTATTTGTTTAACATACTAATAAATATGAATACTATTATAACACCAACGTTAGTGATTAAAAAACCAACTAAAATTGCATTAATTGAATATAGTATATAACTTAATTAAAAGATATTCAATTTCTATTTATAAAATATTACAAATTTATTTAATTTAATTAAAATTTTATTTAAAAATCTTTCTAATTTTAATTATAAATAAATATATCATGCATGTATGAGTAGGATTGTATAATGTGTTACCTATATCTTCACCCACTCCCACCAAACATTCTAGGTATTCATACATGGACCTAGGTTAATGGTTAAAAATTGTATCTCTGTGTTAGAAATTACTTATCCACCTCAAATGAACCAAATCTAGAGGAACCATATTACACACTATTGACTACAATCACAAACCCTACTTCGGTCACAAATTACTTATCCACCTTGGATGAACCATAAGTTAGGTTCATATTGGATTCAATTTATATCCTTAATCACTAACTGTTACATAAACGTCTCTCGACTATATGATGACTTTGACATTCTTGACATGTAGTCAACTTTATGATGACTTTTACATTCTTGACATGTAGTCAACTTTATTGGATGTGATATGCAGACTATATAGGTTCTGAACGCAATTCTGTACCTAAATGATTAAAATGTTAGGTGCACATAACAAAAAATCCACCTTAACTAACACAACCTGTGTATATAAATGGAATCTTTTGGTTCAGGTACGTTATCTCAAAAATTTATTGGATGTGCTAACACGATAAAATTGACCACATCTCAAAAAATTCACCTTAACTAATATGACCTTTGGTTAATTTTTTGGATGTACTATGCAAATTATACAACTTTTGAACACATTTTCATATCTAAATGATTACAATGTTAAGTGCACATAACAAAAAATCCACCTTAGCTAACACAACTTGTGTATATGAACAAAATCCTTTGGTTCAAGTACGCTATCTCAAAAACTTATATCTTTAATTTGGCCAAATTTCTACTGACTTGAGTGTTGGAATATTTTATGTAGGAACAC